GCTGCTTTCATCTGGTTGACTATATGCTGACTGGGGCGGCTGCTAGGTGTCACAGCATCTTGCCATTGCAACCTTTGTGTTCCCCTATTCATCCTCTGGGTCACCCCAGTCTCCTCCCCTTGCAGAGAATGTGCCGCTGCCGGCCAACGGCTCTGCCAAACTCATCCCGTATACCCCCAATGTTCTCTCGCCCATTTCACAAGATACGCACTTGGCCTACTCGCTGCCGTTCGATGAAATACCTTACTTCCTCAGATCGGTGCAGGAGATCCCTGACTCTGTCAATGACCCCGAAGGCATCGAGCAGAAGAAATGGATCATGAAGGCTGCGCGCAGCTCGGTCTCCGGGTCTCCTGTTGCCATGCGCAATTGGTTCTCTGATGGATGGAACTCCTTCGTGGACCTGATCAAGGTATTTCTCTCCCTCTTTTTGCTTTTCTTCTTTTTTTTTTTTTTCTCCTTCCTAGTATCTCTATAATTCAAGTCATACATTACAAGGGGACTGACATGATATTATTAGCACGCGGAGACTATCGATATCATTATCATGGCATTGGGTTATCTTTCCATGCACTTAACCTTCGTATCGCTGTTCTTATCCCTACGTCGTCTTGGATCTAAATCTTGGCTGGCTGCTACCGTCCTCATCTCTGGAGGGTTTGCATTCCTCTTCGGCCTGCTCGTTACCACCGCCCTCGGTGTGCCCATTAATATGGTCTTGCTTTCCGAAGGACTTCCTTTCCTAGTTGTCACTGTCGGGTTTGAAAAGTCCATCATTCTCACCAAGGCCGTGCTCGAACGCAGCCGCCCTCAACCGGGAGCAAACCCTGCAGCGCCCAACGGTTCCGCTGCCAAGCCTGCTGCACCGGTACGCTCTATCCAAGACGCTATCCAGCAGGCAGTTGAAGCCACTGGATTTGGCATCGTTCGAGACTACCTGATTGAAATTGCCATTCTTGTTGCTGGTGCTGCCTCGGGCATCCAGGGTGGTCTGCGACAGTTCTGCTTCCTCGCTGCCTGGATCTTGTTCTTCGACTGTCTCCTGCTCTTCACCTTCTACACCACCATCCTATGCATCAAACTTGAAATCAACCGCATCAAGCGGCATATCGACATCCGCAAGACCCTCGAGGAAGAAGGCATCACCCATCGAGTTGCCGAGAAGGTCGCCTCCACCAGTGACTGGCCTCAGATGAACTTTGACGGGAAGGGAGGTAACTCGAAGACCAGCGGAGCCACTAGCATTTTTGGCCAGAAGGTCCGAGCAAGCAGCATCCCCAAATTTAAGTTCCTCATGGTTGGAGGCTTCGTTTTGATCAACCTGCTCAACTTGGCCACCATCCCCTTCCGCAACCGCCAAGATGGCTTGTTGATGCCTGTTCTCTCCAAGGTGTCCAACGTTCTCTCTCCTGTCCCAATCGACCCCTTCAAGGTTGCCGAGAATGGATTGGATGTCATCTACGTTAGTGCAAAGAGTCAGCAGGTCGAAACTTTGGTCACCGTTCTTCCACCGATGAAATACCAACTCGAGTACCCTTCTGCATACTATGGCAATGCTAACCCCAACGTTGACCGCCTGCTCGACACCGACTACAACCCTGTGCTCGACGTTGTAGGCGGCCGAGTTCTGGAAAGTATCCTGAGGTCCCTCGATGACCCAATCATCAGCAAATGGATAATCGCAGCTCTTATCTTGAGTTTGATTCTCAACGGTTATCTCTTCAACGCTGCTCGCTGGAGCATCAAGGAAGAACAGTCCTCAACTTCCTCGACCCCGTCCGAGTCCCCTACACCGGCCCCTGCACCCGTGAAGGTTGAGCGCAAGCCCATCATCAAGGAAGACGGCACCCCAAGAACTCTGGAAGAGTGTGAGCAGATGCTCAAAGACAAGCTTGTCACCTCGCTTGACGACGAAGAACTGATTGAGCTCTCTCTTCGTGGTAAGATCCCTGGTTATGCCCTTGAGAAAACCATGGAGCACGAGAGTATCACTCGCTTGCAAGCCTTTACCAGGGCGGTCAAGCTTAGACGAGCTGTTGTTGCAAGAAACCCTGTTACTTCCGCCACCAGTGCCTCTGTCGAAAACTCTAAACTGCCATACGAGGGGATGAACTATACTCTAGTTCACGGTGCCTGTTGCGAGAATGTCATCGGTTTCCTTCCGCTTCCTCTGGGTGTTGCCGGACCTCTGGTCATTGATGGACAGAGCTTGTTTATCCCCATGGCTACCACTGAAGGTGTCCTTGTTGCTAGTACTAGCAGAGGCTGCAAGGCTATCAATGCCGGTGGCGGTGCCACTACTGTCTTGACCGCTGATGGCATGACTCGAGGCCCCTGCGTGAGCTTTAGCAGCGTCTCTCGTGCTGGTGAGGCCAAGCTGTGGCTTGACTCTGAAGAGGGCCAGTCCATAATGAAAGCCGCATTTAACTCGACCAGTCGTTTTGCCAGACTTCAGACTATGAAGACAACTCTGGCCGGAACTAACCTCTACATTCGATTCAAGACCACCACTGGCGACGCCATGGGTATGAACATGATCTCCAAGGGTGTCGAGAAGGCGCTGTCCGTAATGGCCAACGAGGCTGGATTCGAGGATATGCAGACCATCTCTGTCTCTGGTAACTTCTGCACTGACAAGAAGGCTGCTGCCGTTAACTGGATTGATGGCCGAGGAAAATCCGTCGTAGCCGAGGCCATTATCCCAGCGAACGTTGTCAAATCCGTTCTCAAGAGTGACGTCGACTCTATGGTCGAGCTTAATATTTCCAAGAACCTGATTGGAAGTGCCATGGCTGGTGCCCTTGGAGGATTCAACGCCCATGCATCCAACATCGTCACTGCCCTCTTCCTAGCCACCGGCCAGGACCCTGCCCAGAACGTCGAGAGCAGCAATTGCATCACCATCATGAAGAAGTATGTATCTCCCATCCCTTTGCATCCTTCGTGGCGCCTTTTCGCGATCACTAACCTTCTTTCCAGCGTGGGTGGTAACCTGCACATCAGCGTCTCCATGCCATCCATAGAAGTCGGCACTATTGGCGGCGGCACCATTCTCGAGGGACAGGGAGCCATGCTCGACCTCCTCGGAGTCCGTGGTGCACACCCAACCAACCCAGGCGACAACTCCCGCCGTCTCGCACGCATCGTGGCCGCCGCCGTCCTTGCCGGTGAGCTCAGTCTCTGCGCCGCCCTGGCAGCCGGCCACCTTGTCCGCGCTCACATGGCCCACAACCGAAGCGCAGCACCTGCAGCACCAGCGTCATCAACATCTCCCACCGCTCCACCAACTCGGTCGGTAACCCCCGTCTCAGCTGCCGTTGGCGCAGCAAAGTCTGCGAACAACCTTGCCATGACGGCTGTGAGCGATCAAAAATGATATTCTTAACTAACCTGCCGCAACTTAAAAAAAAGAACCCCATCGCCTGGTGTGAGGATATAATGCCACATATTCTATTTAATTTCGCATCACTTACAATTTCCTTTAATTTTACTCCTGCCCATGATAAAACGTTTTGATTTTTTTTTTCTTTTTTTCTTTTTTACCTTTACTCCCTGTATGTCTTTCTGCTGCCTTATTTTGCTCCTTATGAACCTGTCTTTCCCTACCCCTGTTCGGCTGATGGAAGACAGCGTCATTTTGCAGGTCTTTGAGTTTCGACTTCGATTTCGGACTTTCAGCCTGAATGAGTTGTTTGTGATTCATTTCTGTCTATTGCATGGGGTAACCGCATCTTCGGACTGCTCTTCTATACCGTTTACCCTCTTCCTCCGTAGACTTCTTCACGGTAGAAATGGAACCAACCTTCTATGCCCGAGAAGACAACCCCTCGGGCTTTCATACATTATTTTCTATTGCAGCATCTTCATCTACGAAACAGTTAACTAGGCAGTTCTAATGATACGCTTCTTGGATAAAGGTCTGGTATTCGTGGCTGTCGCCTTATAAACGGAGGCAAGCCACACTCCCCCGCCCTGCCACTTTAAAAGGCGTTACTGTTAGCGAGCCAGCATGGTATTATGCAACTCCTTATTGGTCTACATGCAGTAAGTATGTATCTCATGCTTTGTGCAGCCGTTGCCCTACCATCCGCTCACAATTGTCATAGAATCGATCCACATGGACCCCGGACTGCCACACTGAAGGCAGGGCCCCTTTCCATGCCCAAGTCTCAGCTGGCCACGTCGCTTCTATCGCTCTCTGATCCACCAATAATGCAACCATGAGACCCTCAGTGGGTGCCTTCGAGCGGCGGGGTTGTGTAGTGCAGAGGCATGGTTAATCACTCAAAGTGAATCATGTCGTGAACAAGTGATCAATTCCATAGAGAGGCAGAAGTATTTAAGGGATGTCCCTTCCCCCGTCCTCTACTACTCGTTGTCCTTATCCTGCCCACACAGAACATCCTCTCTATCACAGTAAACACCTCCTTTTACCAACTACCACCGCCAACTACCAACATGAGCTTCCACGAGACCGCTCGAGAAGTCCGCCTCGAAGACGACTCCATCCTCGTCGCCGAGCTTCGGAACGATAACGGTGACTATGTCACTGCCCGTTTTGACCTCAACAGCGTCCTCGGAAACGACGACGGTACGTCCTTGGTCATGCTCTTGTCCCGGAATATATTCAAAGCCCTGTCCTAGATGACTGGCCGACTGACTGGCTGTTGGACTTTGACAGGCCGCTTCATCTGGAGTGGAAGAGACTTCTCCAACAGTGCTTCCAACATCTGGTTCCAGTTCGACGAGGCAACTAACCTGCCAATCCTGCGAGCGACGTTGGCCAATTCCGACGGCGAAGAGTTTGACAGAGACGTTAACCTAGCCGAGTGTATCACCAACAACAACGGCTGCTTTGAATTGCAATAAACTGTTTCCCAGATTGATCAATCAGCTTTAGCCTTTTTTTTAAATAGCAAAGAATACATCTCTCAGCTTCCTGGAGCAAACCTCTGCCATCAAAGTACCGGCTTCTCTTCGGTTGTGTCGCGTGGTGTTTAACTGTGAAGTCGACATGGGCCCAACGGCCAATCGGTTTTCCACCAAGTCTCCATTTTTTTCCCTTCTCAGCCACAGGGCAGCAGCCCCTTTTGCGGGAAGGCCCGTCTCCAGCTCTCGCTTGACCTTATTCTGATCATGTACTCTGTACTCCGTTTGGTAGCTATTCCGCCGTACATCTGGTGAATTTTTACTGTGATGCCTCTGTGATATTGTGGAACAACTCTTTTGGTCCAGCACTATCTTGAGCAGTATGTTGACAGTTTCTGCAACTTCATTGACTTGACAACGATGCAATGCATACGAGTCCTCTGGAGACAAATCGCATCTGTCTAAGCCACAGTTTGCTAGTTAGTTAAACCTTGTGGGCCAGTGGAAATTACGGTGAACAGTGTGGGAAGGTCACCAAACACTCTGGACAGGGCATTCATTCCGTAGGCAGATATTCATATCCGTACGGAGTAGCCAGGTAAGAAACTGACAGTAAGCGGAACAATTATTGAATCAATGGCCCAGCCTTTTTGTACGGAGTATTCAGTTAGAAGGCTCCTTGTCCTTTACCAGCACCGACGACGGCCGCCTTCAGCCTTTCAGTTCTTCCCGCTCCCGTTGGTCCGAGACAAAGGTAAAACAAGAATCAGAGTAGAAAAAATAATAATCCTCCGTTGCAGGGGCTTGCGGCCTGACGGAGGAGGCATCATATCAGGCAAGGTTCGAGGTAGAGTGGTTGACTGCAAGTTGATAAACCACTACTGCGGCATGCCCTTCGTCTCCCAAGTTTCATGATGCGGGAGAATTTTCTCACAAACGCATCCTGGAACGTAGTCTGTGGTTTTGTCTCGAACAGCCTGTCTCTTGTCTCTGCCTCTTTGTGTCTTCTGGAAGGCAAGCTAAAGTGGTTTGTGCAGCAGCATATAGCATCCATGCCACCCCTCCACAGCCACGGACCCCATCTCGTGAGGGCTGGACTGGGCTCTTCAACGAGTCCAGGTCCAGTACTCCAGTCCCATGGGTCTGCAGCCTGGAAAATCGATTATCCTTGACCCCTTAGGAGGCTTGTTGGTGCTGGGAGTCTGGGGTTGTTCCCCCCTTTTTTTTGCTTGGGTCGACGGCCTCAGCAAGTCAACAAGCATCACAGTAATCGAGCTACTCCGTACACGGGGGCGTCGTCTCATAAATGTACCTCTCTGGCCTCCTTGCCTCCGTGGTGAGTGGTCAAGGCTTGTCCCGGCCGGCTGTCCAGTGCGTCTAGTTGGTGATAGATCCAGAATGCAGGCAGCATCAGGGATCTAAGAAACAAGATCGATACATCGACCACGCCGGGAATTCATGACCTGTCTCATGTCCCTGCAAGTTCCCCCCAAGCTCTTTCTCCCGTATCTTTTTGCCCTGAAGACGTCCTTTTGACGCCTGTGCAGTCGATTAGCAATAATTGCTGCTTGGTATGTAATGCCTTTCTGTAGCCATCTCAGAGAAGCGAGCCCAGAGCCGCCTTTGTACTCTCATGCATATCCTGCGGTAGGGATCACAGGCCGGCCTGCAGCCCGGAAGACACAGGCAGACAGACAGACAATCAGCAGTAGACAGCGAGTGAGCCCTAGATATATATGTGTATCCCGTTATGCATCTCGTCTGGCCCTGCGATCGATCTGGTGGCTGCGGCTATTCTTGGAAGCGGGAAGTCCTGCTGGCCTTGATTGGCGAGGAAGAGACGAAGAAGCCGGCGAAAAAAAAGAAGAGAGTAAAAAAAAAAAAAAGGAAAAAAAAAAAGAAAGAGAGAGAGAGAGAGAGAGAGAAGCCAGCCAGGGATCGCGCAGTCAAAAAAAAAAAAGTCCCAAGTCAGTCCCCGTCGCCTCCTTGAAATCAGGAGAAGAAGAAGAGAAAAGAAAAGAAACCAGCGGCGATGCGGTGCCTTGCATCTCCCTGCGATTGACCGACCATTGTCGTCTCCTTCTTCTTCTTCTTCTCCTTCTCCTTCTTCTAGTTGTTGTTGCTGCTTTGCTTTTCGCTCGTCGTCTTCTTCGTCCTGAGCTCGCCGTCGCCGTCTCTCCTTTAACCGCCGGCCCATCGAGTGCGCCTCGTCTTTCTCCCCTGCGTCGCTGCAAGCGTCCAGTCCTGCTGCAAACCAGACAGAGCACAAGGCCAGCTGTTTCCCGGTTTCTCATACGGTATCTCTCTGCTCCTGTCCTACCTTGACTGCTATGCCAGTCGCCTCTGCTGCTCTGTTTTTCTCCCGTTGCCGTCCTCACCAAATTACACCGCTGGCTAACGAACGAACGACGACGACGACGACGACGTCAAGCTTAGATTGCAGGACCATACTCGTTCACCGGCCCAGAGAAGCCACGGAAGCCGACGCTCCTTTCGATCAGAATTACTCTTCTTATTATATCGTGCTGCGATACTGGTTGTGGCGGGCTGGAGAATTGCCGCTGAGCATCTGGGACGCTTTTGCGCTCGGAGCCAGCCAGGCAGTTGATATCTTGCCCTGCAGCGCCTTTCGCCTCCCTTCGCTCTGTCTGCCAGAACGAGACTTCCGGGCACCGTTGAACGGCTCGGGCAAACCTGTCTTGTGTGCTGCCCTCCATTTAATTACCTTGATTTTTTTTTTTCTTCTTTTTCACCTTTGCTACCACGTTCTATGTGTGACCGGTAGACGGCTGGCGGACAGTGTTCATGAATAGCCCTGCACTTCGCCGTTCGGAAGCCACCGTCATGTCTCCCGTTTCGACGGACGGGAGCGAATGGTCAGGAATAAACCAGTATTCACTTCCTTCGCCCAATTCAGTCCGTGGATTCCCTACTCCGCCGCAGTCTGGCGCTGCTCATTCCTCTCATAATGGCCCTTCAGACACTACATCAGTCTCGTCCAACAGCCTCACGCTGCCGCCGTCAGGAAGAATGTCACAGAAGGCTTCGCCTCCAAGTTCAGTCACCTCTCCGTCCAGAGTGAGCGATGGCACCCTCTCGGACCAGAGCAACGCCAGGAGACAGAGGATGGAGGATATGCTGTCTCAGCATTACATTGTACTTAGAAGGTATCTCCAAGGCCCTTCAAGAGAAGAATCAAATATACGGTCAAACAGAGCTCGAGACAAGCTTCTACGGCTATCACCTGTCTTGTTCCTGGAGCTGAGTACCGACGTCTACGATGAACTGCTCAGACGGCAAGCTGTCGTTGCTGCTTCTCGCCCGGGGCCTCCACGGCCAGAGGTTCCTCCTCACCTACTTCCCCGGCAGGAATATCACAAAAAACGAAACCAGGCACGCCAAAAGTTGTCTTCCCTGCAGGACCAGCGGTTCAAAGACCTGGCAACCGACGTTTTCTGCGAGCTAGAGAGAAGGTTCCCACATTTTGCTGGGCCAGAGATGAACAGAAGGGCTAGTCCTGCACCTAGTATGGGTGGGCGCTTTGGTGGCCCACGACCCGACTCCAATGGGCAAGGATACGGATACCCGGGTACACCAAACGGTTCTCGCGGCCCTCCGCCGGGCCCGAGAGGCCCTGGATACCATTCTGGTCCCGGACCAGGTAACCGGTTTCCCCCTCGACAAGGCTCTCTCGGAGCTATTTCTGCGACCGGACTGGGAATAAATAGCGAGGGCATGCCAGACAACGCACCCTATCAAAAGTCCTTTCAGAATAACACGGTTGTGCCCAATAAGAGTACAATGGTGGAAGACGATGATGCTGACGATGACGATGATCGACGAAGCGATGCCTTTGCGCTGGATAAAGTGCTTGACCATAGAAGGGACATGATGGCTGCCGCAGGAAGTGCAGAACGTGACAAGAAACTTGCTGACGCCGAGGCCCAAGTATCAGAGCTGCAAAAGAAAGTAGAAGAGCTGGAATTGATGCACAGAGAGAAGGAAGAAGAAGTCAACACTCTCAGAAAATCCAATGACAGCTCGAGCGTAGGTTTTTTTTTTTTTTTTTTTTTTTCTTTCTCAACTCTTCTATGTGAGTAGATTGGGCTAATGGAATCCTTAGAGCTGGAAGGCGGAAAAGGCAGAATATGAAGAAATGAAGCGTGAACTCGAAGAGCAGCTGTCTAACACGCATAACCTGAACAATGCGGTCCTCTCTCAACTCGAGGAGGCCCGGGATCGGCAGAAGGATGCAGAGATGGAACTAGAGAAGCTCCGCCAGGAGCAGCATTCTGTCGATGGCACTGCTGGTGGTGGTAACAGATCCCATGGCGGTGATGATGACTGGAAAAGCCGGTTCGAAGATCTCGACCGAGAGCACGAATCCCTCAAAGCGAAGCTCAAGCATCAACAAGAGGTCACTGAGCAAGTACGGCAACAAGCATCAGCCTTCTTACAGGAAATGCGAGCGCTGTCTGACGGCCACAACTCAAACTGGGACCGCGAAGAGCGCCTTATACGGGACGTACATCGACTGGAGGCAGAGGTCAAGCACTGGAAGAACCGCTATGCAAAATCAAAAACGCAGCTGCGACATTTACGATCCTCTTCTATCGGGCTACCTGATAACATTCAAGACACGAACACCATAGCAAAAGACAACGCGCTGACCCAACCGGACGGACTGGTTAAAGACGTACATATCACTAAGTTCCAGATGGCCATCGACGAGCTGTTGCGCATTGCGCGTTCAGACGAGCCGTCCCTCGTGCTGGGCCAGATGAAAGGGGTTGTACTTGCTGTTCGGTATATAACACAAGATATCGACAGTGCCGTCAATGTTAACACAGCTACCGATGATGAGCTGACGAAAATCCGTGCTCGAGCCAAAGCACAGGTGTCTGCCACAGCGAACAATCTGATCACGGCTTCGAAAAACTTTGGAAACTCCAATGGCCTGTCTCCTGTCTCTCTACTAGATGCAGCTGCATCCCACCTGACTGCTGCTGTTGTCGAGCTCGTTCGAAAGGTGAAGATCAGACCTACACCAGAGGACGAGCTTGCTGATGAAGGAGAGGAAGACCAACTTCCTCCGATGCAGTCGCCGGGATATTTCAGTGTAGCTCCCAGCCTGACGAGGTTCAGCGGCAATGAATCCATCTACAGCGCCATCAGCTCTCCGCCATCTCTACGGTCAAGAACAAACTCCCATTCAAATTCACGAAATAGACTTTCGGGCGCTAAGCATGGCTACCCGGGACTATCTCCTGATAAAGACCTAGAAGAGCTTAGGGTAAGTTACACCAATTCATACTCTATATAATACTAGAAGCCACTCTTGATCATGTCTAACGCAACTTTGTATAGCTCCACCTTGAAGATCAGACCAGCTCTCTGGTTCACTCCATACAATCCCTCGTGGCTAGTATCCGCGGGGAGGACTCCGTCTCCGCCATCCAATTGCACATCAACACCATTGCAGACGCAGTCGAGAAGGTTGTCACGTCTACAGAAACAGCCATGGCTAAACCTGACGCCAACCCAGCGTTACGTGACAGAGCAGTCCCTGTCATTGAGATCCTGGCACGGCATCGCGATAATTTGCTCGACATCGGCGCTGAAGCTAGCAACCTCACTGACGGAACCGAGATTCGTGAATTGAACAGCAAACTCCCACCCATCGCCTTCCAAATTGCCCGGGAGACGAAGGAGCTAGTCCAGCGCATCGATCAGATCGAATATGCTAGCCAGAACAACGAGGAAGATGACTTCCGTTAACCGATCTATACACTCAATTGCCTCCTACTTCCAACCTACCCATTCACTTTCATCTTACTCTTCCACCCTTCCTATTGATATGCTTCTCATCTCACCACCTTACAGACTTACTTCTTTATTTACTTTGCTTCTTACTTATCCAGCGGAATGACCTGCTTTTTTTTTTTTTTTTTTCATTGGCCACAGATTTATTTTCTCTCTTGCAAGCTTCTTCTGGGATCCAGCTCTTAAGTTCATGTTCGGTTCTCTCTTTCGGAGCCACCAGTTGCAATCGTTCTTATATTCCCTTGTTATTTTTATTATTTTTATTATTTTATCCCCAGCGGAAGACTTTTTACGGGCAACGGTGACGAGATCGGATGGATGTACTTTTATTCTCTCTCGATAGATAGATATTTCGTATATCCGACTATTATTTAATGTCAGTTATGGGCAATCATGCTACCGAACTCTTTATCTGCTCTCTCTTTATCTGTTTCGGCTCTTTCAATAAATAATGAACTGCTTAGCCTGTCCTCTGTATGTATGAGCTATCGAAACCTGCAGAGGAGTTTTTTTTTTGCTTTCGTTTGGCCTCGTTTCCTCTTTGGGCCTGGCCTCCCGTGTGGGTCTCCCGCGCCCCTGAGTCACATGACCTTATAGTATAAAGAGAAGGAAGGAGCCCCAGAGAAGCGGAAGGAAAGAGCGACCTTTCTCTTCCATTCAAACTTCTTAGTCAGAGACTTTGTATTACTAATTTCTTCTTCATCTTTGTATTATATCATCAAAAGCAAACAGTGCAAACACCCCTCCATCCCGCCCGCGCCCCCCACCCCACCCTCTGTTTTTCTGCCACCCGTCGCCGCCATCATGGCCTTTGCTCGTCCTTCTTCTTCTTCCTCTTCTTCCTTCCTGCTCGCTTCCATCCGTCGTCCTCACACTCTCCAATCCATCGCATCTCAACCAAAGCTATCCAGGTCGTTTCACAAGACTTCGCCCATCATGTCTAACGTTTACTTTGACGTCCAGTACACCGACAAGAACAACACTGGTATGTTGCTGCTGCTGTTGTTGTCCCGCTCTCTGCCCCTCTTTCCTGTGTTTTTGTTTACTCCCACTACAACAAAGGGACTGCCAGGCGGTGATATTGCATCAATTGGGCAGCAGACAAAGCTATACACGATACAGCACGCTGACATTAATGTTTTTTCTGCTCCCTATAGTTCAGGACGGCCGCATCAACTTCAAACTCTATGATGATGTTGTGCCAAAGACCGCTGCCAACTTTAGGGCCCTCTGCACCGGCGAGAAGGGTTTCGGATACTCTGGCTCTGGTTTCCACCGTATCATCCCAGGCTTCATGATCCAGGGTGGTGACTTCACCCGTGGAAACGTATGTCTCTTGTCATTTTATTGTCTTTATAGTCGGGTGACTTGAGTAGCTAACGCTGAGCTGTATTCAGGGAACCGGTGGAAAGTCCATCTACGGTGAGAAGTTCGCCGATGAGAACTTCAACCGCAAGCACGACCGCCCCGGTCTCTTGTCCATGGCCAACGCCGGCCCCAACACGTGAGTCTTCATTTCCATTCTTGCCATCACGTTACTGACCCGTTCTCAACTTCAGCAACGGCTCTCAATTCTTCATCACCACCGTTGTCACCTCCTGGCTTGATGGAAAGCACGTCGTCTTCGGCGAGGTCGCTGATGACAAGTCTATGGAGATCGTCAAGTGTCTCGAGGCCTGCGGCAGTGCTTCCGGCGCCGTCAAGACCAGCCACAAGCCCTGCATCAAGGGCTGCGGTGTCTTGTAAACAACTGCTAGCCTTTTTCTTTTCGCCCGAATAGACACAGCCTTGGCCTTTTGATGAGAAAAGAAATCGTTATGGCTTGATCCTCTACCCCTTGTGATTCTTTCTTACCGTTGTGGTCCTTGTTTATCTCTACTTTTCATCTCTCTGCTATGAACAGGTAGTATCGCTCGAAGGGATAGGACAAATGTGGTGGGAAGTAGCTGGAAAGGACAACCGGATCACGTTTCTTTTTCTCTGTCAAGAAGCTAATTGCCATACCTATTCTTTCTGGATCGCAACATATCAAGGCGGCTGTTTCAGTACGAAGACAAAGCACATAATCATTCGGCATTTTACATTGCATAGCTACAAATTAAAGAGGGGCATTACTCGCTCTCAATTGTACAATCTCGCAATCTCTGCTACTTCCTTGTTTTTTTTTCGTAGTTTTCTTCATTGCATCAAGATAGTAGTAGATGGTGGGGTTAGACTTATGGATGAACGTTTGCCACTTGAGTTTCTTCTGCACTCGGAGCAGCGAAAAAGAAAACATCCCTCCAACGCCGTCATTTCCCCAATAGATGCATTCTAATTTGACCTCCTTATGATATCCGGTGATGCAGCATGACATGTATAATGGCCATACGTCTATTCCTTTGAGTATGGGCATTGCACCGGCACTTGTTTGCGTTCAAATGGGGAAGCCCAAAACCCACAGCGGCGGGTTCTGAGCAAACTCCGCATCACGGAGGTAGAAATCCCTGGGATCGTCATTGACTTTACAACAGAGGCTATGCATGATGGACTAGTTCATCATATGCCTGTTGCATCCTCGGCTGTACAAGACCCGGAAGTCTTCGGGCATCTCTCGATGTGGACTAAATAATAAGTACTGCCAGCACTCAAGTTCCTCACTCATCGTCATAATCTGGGCCGGATGCAGCTTCTCCCATCAAAACTCTTTTCCCCGCTGCCTTCAGTACCCCGTTTAATATTTCCCTTGTTTGCTTGCACCCGTCGATCCCAACCGCAAACATGGTCTCGAGATACGACACATGCACTCCCGAATCCATATGCACAATTGATAGCATCTGATTCTCGTTTTCGGCATCATAATCATCCTCTTCCTCATCTTCTTCGTCCTTTGGAACAGTTATGTCTGGCATAGGATTTGTATTGGCAACCGTCATATACGGCAACTCGACTTCTTCAGGGGCAGAGATGTCTAGCAGAGGATCCAGGCTCTCGTTTATTTCTCCTATTTGTGCGGATTCAGCTGTTACTGCTGGAGTAGATGCACGGCCGCTCATTCCAACCGTGCAGGCACACAGCAGCCCGGGCATAGGTATACCGGCGTCAACCAGGGCGAGGGTACATGCATTCAGACACGCAGCGAACAGGGAACCATCAGAGGAAAGGACCGATACGTGAACCGAAATTGTACTGCGGGGGTAGAGATGGGCGTGTATATGTGGTTGAAAGGCATCCCGGAGCAAAGTAGCTAGCTCCGTTGTGGCTTGCCTGTTAATCACCCATTAGTCAACCGCTAATATACAAAGTAGGAGACATAGAAATGACATACCTGTCACCTCCGCCACTGCCAGTAGCACTCTTCTTTTTCCTGTCCACATTCGCAAATCCAGCTAAATTGACAACAACATTTATTACTGCGCCAGCTGCGCCAGCTGTTTCGGAGCGTTTACCCTCCGCGGGCCCATGTACAGTACAAAGAACTGCAGTATTACCCATTGATAGGTACGATGAGCCAGAGCTTGCTGGATTGGTAGATATTTGGGCCTGAAGAAGTCGTAGTTCATTCCATCGTCGTCCGTCTAGTCGCAATCGTGTGAGACGGTAGGTTGTGGACGTGTCAAGAGGCATTTTGTCAAACCGGGGATACAGAGAGAGAATCGCATGTATCAAACAGTAGGATTAGCTGAAATGCCTATATTTTGCAGTATGGGGGAGTTATTCAAATTTAAAGGGCTTCGATGTTTTTTATCTGAAGCTCAGTAATTTGCCTTTTTCGGTGAAAATTATGCCAAGCGACAGATTAGTTACATAAGCCAAGCGTTGGCTGTAGCTAACAGACCAGGCCCAGGTATCAATTAATCAAAGAAAAAGAAGGACAATTGTATTCTGCATATCAATCGCCGGACACCTATCTCATATCTTACCTACCTTTAGCCACGATCAGCTCGTTACTCTATGCATTGCATCATGAAGTTTCCATGTGTCGGGGTATCGGCGCCTGGAGGCAATTAGGCGGCTCATTTCACGTGACTACGAGTCGTTTCCGCGTCACCTCATCTCGTTCGAGATTGATCAAGCCTCCATTTGAAATAGACGACTAAATTCATGACCAGAAGATGCCGACTCACTGGGAACTGCAGGACACTGACGCGACCACGGAAGATAGTGATGATGATGATCTGGGATACCCAAGTGTCGCTAGAGTGCCGACAAAGCGGCGTAGCCCCGTGCAACTCTCTAGTACGTGATGCTACCGTGCATGTAGATGCTATTTGAATGAAACTAATAATAACGGGTTTAAGATGACAAGCCGCAAAAACGACAGAGACCATTACTGGAGTCCCCTGTAACACCTGGTAGAGAGAACAACTTCATAGATCTGTCAAAAACCGCGAGTGAAGGCAGTGACGATGAGTTCAACAATGGCGAGGCTGTGTACAAGGAGTTTAAGAATCGTAAGACTGTCCAGCGTAAAAGATCAGCTGCACAAATGCGCAAACGCCGAAAAATCCAAAGGGACTCTATCGTTGGCCGTCGTGGTACCGGAACTGAAAGCCGCAAACCAGCTCGCCTGCCCCGAGAATATGGTGACCTCAGTTCTGACGATGACATGATGGAAGATACCCTCCCTGACTACTTGAAAAGACGCCGGACTGCCTTTGACAAGAGGAGAGAACAGCTTGTTGAAGCCGGATTAAAGCTACCGCCCAATTTTGATGATGTGCAGTTCTCAGATGATGAACAACTCGATTCGCTAATAGAAAAGCCTTCGTTTTCGCATGTGAAGCCGTCACGTAAGTATGAGGATGTCCAACTGCCATATTCTTTAGGCTTGATACCTGCCCCGATTGCTCAATGGCTCCGGAATTACCAAGTTGAAGGCGTTGGCTTTCTTCATGAGTTATTCGTTTATCAGAAAGGTGGCATTCTTGGTGATGATATGGGCTTAGGCAAGACTGTCCAAGTCATCGCGTTTCTTACTGCTGCATACGGTAAAACTGGCGATGAGAGGGATGCTAAACGAATGCGAAAGATGAGGCGAAAAGGAGAATATGCCTGGTATCCTAGGACTCTAATTGTTTGCCCTGGAACACTTATTCAAAATTGGAGAGACGAGTTTGATCGATGGGGTTGGTGGCATGTGGATGTATATCATGGTGACTCCAAAGATGCTGCTCTCAAATCTGCCGCATCTGGGAGAGCGGAGATCCTTATCACCACATACACCACATATCGCTTGAATCGAAGCGCAGTTAACATGGTGGAATGGGATTGTGTGATCGCGGATGAATGCCACATAATAAAGGATCGGAAGTCGGAAACTGCGAAGGCTATGAATGAGTTAAATGCCTTGTGCAGGATTGAACTAACTGGAACTGCTATACAGAATAAATATGAAGAACTATGGACCTTACTGAACTGGACGAACCCTGGGAAATTTGGACCTATCTCTACCTGGAAGTCCACAATATGTGAACCGTTAAAAGTAGGACAATCCCATGATGCTACAATATATCAGCTAAGCCGAGCGAGGAAGACGGCACGGAAATTGGTCAAGAACCTTCTCCCTGCATTCTTCTTAAGGCGCATGAAGTCGCTTATTGCGGACCAGTTGCCAAAAAAGAGTGATCGGGTTGTCTTTTGCCCCCTTACCGAAACACAGTCAGACGCATATGAGAATTTTCTGGATAGTGACATAGTTGATTATATCAAGAACTCATCTGACTACTGCAGCTGTGGGTCTGGCAAGAAAGCGGGATGGTGCTGTCGGATGTTTTTACCCCAAGGAGGTAAATGGCAGAGCTATGTCTTCCCTGCTATTTCAAACCTCCAGAAGATCAGCAACCATCTTGCGATTCTAATACCACAGCCAATGGACCCGAAAGACAAGCAAGCAAAAGACTTGGAAATGTTGCAAGTTGCTGTCCCAGATCAATGGAGGGAACTATACCGCACCCGGGGATCAATCATGAACTACTCAAATCCTGAATTCTGTGGCAAGTGGAAAGTCTTGAAGAAGCTTCTGAAATGGTGGCACGCCAATGGAGATAAAGTCCTGGTATTCTCCCACAACGTCAGGCTACTTAAAATGCTTCAGATGCTCTTCAATCACACAAGTTATAACGTAAGCTACTTGGATGGCTCGATGAGCTATGAAGACAGGTCAAACATCGTTAACGCGTTCAATTCGGACCCCCGGCAATTTGTTTTCCTTATATCCACGAAAGCAGGCGGAGTAGGGCTAAACATAACCTCTGCAAATAAGGTCGTTGTTGTTGACCCGAATTGGAACCCTGCTTATGATCTTCAAGCGCAAGACCGTGCGTATCGGATTGGCCAACTTAGGGACGTGGAAGTCTTTAGACTTGTTTCTGCTGGCACCATCGAAGAGATAGTATATGCCCGTCAAATATACAAGCAGCAACAGGCAAACATCGGCTACAATGCTAGCACTGAAAGACGTTATTTTAAAGGTGTTCAAGAGAAGAAAGATCAGAAGGGAGAGATTTTTGGTTTAGCAAATCTCTTCGAATACCAGAATAATAATGTTGTTTTAAGAGATATTGTTAACAAAACTAACATAGCTGAAAGCAAAGCTGGCGTACAGGTGATCGATTTCGAGATGGAGAGAGAACAAAGCCAAAGTGATTATGATGGGGTAGATGACAAGCTTAACCTATCCACACCAGATGAAAATGATGACCTCGCAATGAGCCAGCTCGCGGCGTTGGTTCGTGGTGAAGGTCTTCCAGAAGAAAACAAGAAGC